GAGGGGTTCTGAGTGGGGCGACAACAACGAAGAAAGACTCGGATCCAGAAAAGTGGCTCGCTCTGGGGCGAGAGCGCCATTCTGAACGACGGGGGCGAAGCGCCGATCCGAAAATGAGACCCTCGCTGCAGCGGGAGCGCCGTTTTGAAGCACCGAAATCGAATGGCAACACAAGCATAATAAACAACTTGTGACATTTTTTAGACAAAATCAGCACGCAGAGAGGGCCTGGTATCTTCCAGACGGAGTGAGGGGGGAGAGAAGAGTAGTAGACACATGGCTTAAATGTCGATAGGGTGAGAGAGGGCCATGTAAAGCCCTCCTCTTCCTTTTCCTCCTGCAGAGCTCCTCCTTCACCTCTCCATCCCTTCCTCCTTTCCCCCTCCCCCCCCTCGTCTCCCATCTGAGTATGCAGCCGCCTCAGCGCTCTGGCCGCAGGGGCAGTTTCGGATCGTTCCCCCCTTGTGGCTGGCGGTGGTTGCTGGGAGGGGACGGGCGAGGCAAACCAGCAGCTACGCGCACGCGTAAGAATGACCCTTCGCTGGAGCGACCTTCGGGTGCGGGCCCGCAGGGGCTCCCCCAGCACCGGCTTGCGCGCTTGGATTCTGCCCCATCCCCCCCCCCTCCCCGCCCCCGCCCCTGGCCCCCTAGAGCAGGCCGCACACTAAGAGACCACTCTTGCCTAGGGTCACTCTTGCGTGTAGCTCCGATGAGGAGACCGAGGGCAAGAATCGGTGGGAGGATGAGGATGACAAGGGGGAGGAAGAAGATGACCAGGAGGATGAGGATGGTTGGTGAGGGTCCCCAGGATGGTGAACATAATGCAGACTTCTCTGAGGCATCATCTTTAAGCCCAATCACTCTCATGATGATCAGGCTTTAGTGCTGCCTGACGTCCTACGGTCGGGAACTTTTGGATAGCGTGTCGCTCCGCCGCTTCTGGCCCACCGCGTTTCGGTGCCGCACACACACACACACTATCCGCCTTCCCAGTCCCAGGGCGTCAGCCTCCCGAGGCTTTCCGAGCCTGCCGTCCCGAGGAAGCGGAGCGACACGCTCGCCCCGCCCCGCAGGGCATAGCATGCGCCCAGGGCCGCCGCCGCCGCCGCGCGACGCACAAGTTCCCGGCCGTATAGCCCGACCACCCAGTCGGGGGCAGACTCGAGCAGGCCGCACCAGCCCGCGGTCCACTGCGCACGGTTCCTCACCGCCCACCAAACCACCCCAACCCAACCCGAAGGCCACGATTTGCCCTCCATTTCCAGTGGGGGGGGGTCGGGGAACATCGAAAAAACACATGGAGCCCGTACCCCCCCCAACCCGAAATTCGGGTCAAATTCGGGTCTTCGGGTTGGGTTGGGGTGGTTTGGTAGGTAGTCAGTTCCGCGTGGTCCGAGGCTGGCTCCCGTGGCGAACTCGGCGTGCCCGTCTGCGGCCTCCACGCGACGAAGGCGTCTGTCCACCACCGCCGTGCCAGGCCAGGACCATCCTGGGCCCCGGCATGGTGTATGGACCCTCCTGGCCTCGGCCAGGAGGGGCGTATACGGTAGGTTCGTGTCGTGTCGACCAGCGGCGACCCCGCCGCGGACGTTCAAGGTTTGACGCCGCCAGTGGCCCAGAGTCGGCCTACATGGAACGATCGAGCGACGGAAAAGCCGCCGATCGTTCAAGGTTGAACGATCCACGCGGTGTCAGAAACCAACGCCGGGGTCGCCACGACGCGAACCTGCCGTACGCCATCCTAGGGCCCAGGATGGCCCTGGCCTGTTCCGGCGGTGGTGTGTGGACGCCCGTCTGCGTAGCTCCTCTCCCTCTCGGGCCGCGTCGCCGTCCGCGCCTGCGGTGAGGCACGTCTTGCCTCCCCTCGAGGCTCCCAGGGTCGAGGCTGCAGCTCTGGGCCCCGCCTCCAATGGGGAGGCTTCCTCGAGGCTCGCTCGATTCGGGGAAAATTCCCGGAGGAGGAGGTACCCCTACCCCTACCCCCTCGCCCGTTTTCCCCTTTTTGGGCCTCCTGGGCCTCCGTCGTCGCCACCGCTGGATTCGCTTCGAAATCCTGGTCGGAACGCACCCAGGAGAGGTCTGGGGAGTAGCGGTATGGGTACCTTTCGGATTCCCCAAATTCTCCTGAGCGGAGGCAGGTCCCAAAGCTCACAGGACTCGGGGGCCGAAGGTTTGGGACCTTCCGCCACTCAGAGAGGTGATGTTTGAAAGGTCGAAGGAGGGGAACACAAGCATACAGACACAGTGAAACGCCGACTTCCAGGAACGTAGGGGAGAATCTTGAAGACGGAGATCAAGAGAATATGATCACATGAGGGTAGTCCTGAGATTCGTGTGTATTTATTTGTGTATCCCTGGGCCCCTTCGCCCCCCCCTCCTCCTCCCTCCTCCCTGTCCCCTCCCCGCCCCCCCTACCCTCTTCAGACGGAGTGTTGCTGCTTACCCTCGCGCGCCATTTGCGCAAAGCTTGCAAGTGGTTGCCGGCCGAGGCCCAGTGATATTTTCCACGTATGCATGTGCACATTTCCTGCCAATGCGCCGTCTGGGCGCGGCTCTTTGTTGTTGTTGTTGTTGTTGTTGTTGTTGTTGTTGTTGTTGTTGTTGTTGTTGTTGTTGTTGTTGGGCCCCTTCGAGGTCGTGAGCGGAGGTGGGCCCCGGGGTCCCAGCTCCAGCTATAGGCTGCTGTGCACTTTCTGTGGGCCTCCGGGGATGTCGCGCCCGGGGGGGGGCGGAGGAGGCACAGGAGGAGGGGGAGCAGGCGCGGAGCACGAGGACCCAGAGGAGGAGGAGGAGGAGGAGGAGGGGGAGGGGGAGGGGGAGGAGGAGGAGGACGAGGAGGAGGAGGAGGAGGAGGAGGAGGACGAGGAGGAGGAGGAGGAGGAGGAGGAGGAGGACGAGGAGGAGGAGGAGGAGGAGCAGCAGCAGCAGCAGCAGGACGAGAGCAGCACCCTGCTTGCTGGCGTGCCGGCTTGCGCGCCTGCCTTTGCGACCAGCCCTTGCTGGTTCTCCGACTCTGCCCCCTGCACACCTCTGTTTGTTTGCGTTTGTTTCTTGTCTCGCTGTCTCTTTCTCTCTCTCTCTCTCTCTTTCTCTCTCCCTCGCTCTCTCTCTCTCTCGCTCTCTCTCTCTCTCTCTCTTTCCCTCAACCTCTGTCTCTTTCTGCGGCCTACCGCGCCCTCGGCAGGGTTTCTCGCGGTCTTGTCCTCATACCCATCCTCCTGGCCCTCGTCGTCCTCTTCTCCCCGGTGAGGGAAAAGATGTTCGAAACGAACCGTTCAGGAACGATTCTCGGAGACAACTGCTCGTAAACGATCTTCGGGTCAGCCCGCGTTTTTCCTATACACCCGCGCACGCGATTGGATGCATTCTCCTTGCATGCAAACGGGTGTGCGGAGGGTGGTGTTGGCTTTGCTTTGCACCAGCGCCGTGTAGTTGGCGCGCACGTTGAGAGACTGTTTTATAGGGTCTGGCGAGAACCCGGGTTATCGGGCCCGCCCGTCCTCCCACCCCCCGGATAAGCTGACCTTGGCGGTTTCGCAGGTCTGGAGGGGGTACGCAGTATTGGCGCTCGCGGGCACACGTGGGGCCGCACAAAGCGAAAATCAAATTCGATCTCTTGATGCGCGCGTGTCGCGCACATGTCATGTGTGCAAGCGATCCCCCCTCAGGCCTTGGAGGGCGAGGCGGACAAGGCCGCTGCCCGTGAGGCTCGGGCTGGGACTCCCTGAATTGGCACCAGTAATTATGGCCTGTGCAGATCCAGGGCTGCTCTGGATCCGATCGGTCCGATGATGCGTGATGACGCCTGCGTGTGAGGCGTTCCAGAAACGGCCTCGCTTTCGAGGGCAGAAGGAGTTGGCATCTCTTCCTCGGCGGAAGGCGGCGGTAGTAGAACGAGGGCGCCTCCGCCAGCGGACGCCAGCGGAAGGCCGGCGGAAGCTGGCGGAAGTAAAAGATGCACCCCGAAGAGATGGCAACATTTTTTTGGGTCGTAGTGCTTCCGGAACCTGCCATATGGCACCGATCGGTTCGATTGCGCCAGGGCGGCTTTGGTCGGACGGGGCTAGAACGAGGATAACTCCGTTCCAGAGCGTTCCGGAACGCTCTCAGAGCGTTCCGGAACCCTCTGGGGAGAAGGTCGCGACGCCCGATACATCCTCCAGAGCCGCCAGATCTTAGAGATTCTCGATTTATCCTCACCCATATGTATCCTCGTCCACATAGCTCCGTGCTATTTGTGGTCCGACTCGATTGGCCGAAACTTGAGCGATCCGATCGCTGCGCGGTTCAGGGTTGCCTCTGGACGGTCGCGCGACCAGGGGCCTCCTGCGGCAGAGGCGGGGTGAGGTTTTGGCGGGGCAGCAGGGCCCTGCCCGTGGCCAGAGGAATGTTCAAAAGAGTAGTCCAGACACAGTCCGGCGACGAGTGCTTCGTGCTCTCATCATCTTGCAACAGGCTGTTGTTTGAGGATTCGTCCTGGTTCTTTCGAAATCCGCCTGTAGGAGGGCATGCCCGACCTAAGCGATGTGGGTGGGTGAAGCCCCCTGCGCGACTCCAGACGGAGCCTCTCTTTTTGCAGCCAGTGCCCGCGGCGGAAAAATGGACGGTCGCGGACACCCCGAGTAGTCCAGACCGCACCCCTCACCAGCCACACCGTCTGCGGGACCCTTGCCGTGAGGCCTTGGCGCGCGCCGTCGCCGCCGACGACCCACAGAGGATCCGCGACGCGATCCGGAAGGCTCGGGTCGGGCGAGGTCATGAAAAGGGGGGGGGGCCACACACCTGCTGCACGCAGCCGGTTTCGGCCCCGCCGCCGGGCGCATTCTTCGATGTATGGGCGCCTCCGGTGCCAGACGGCGCCGAGAAAGCCAGCTGCGTGAGCTGATTCCTGGACCCCCTCTTTGCTATCCTCCACTTTCACGTCCGACCCAGAAGGCCGAGCTGGCCCGGCTGGGGGCGGGCGACACGGAGAAGGCGAGCGGAGGAAAGAATAGCGACACCATCACAACCAGGGTTGCCACCTCCAGCGAGGAGGTCCACGACGCCCTGCCGATCTGGGAATAGGACAATGTCTCAGGCGAGGATGGGGACCACACCACCAGGAGCTTGCTTGCAAACTCGTGGGTGGTTTAATCTAGCATCGGCGCTGGCATGTCCTTTGTCGAAAGCTGTTTTGATCCGGCCCATCCCCTTTGATCTGGCTCAGTCTTACTTAATCCAGCCTGATCCCAGGCCTAATGCCTACTTGCCCCGAATCGTTCTCACGAAGATGTTCCAGAAGTTGCCTCCTCACAGGAGGACCCTCAGTTGGCTCATCGCGCTGGCGGTGCTGGTTAGATGATCGTCTAGGGTACCTAGTTCGACTTTTGTTCGGCTCTAGCTCTGCTCAGGTTCGACTCCAGTCGACGGACGCTCGTCTCGGCATCGACGCAGGAGTGGAGCGAGTGACTCCAGGATTGGGTTTCCTTATTTCCTCTTGGAGGGCCCCCTCTTTCTAAAACCTTGGGGCATTCCCAAAACTACCATACCCAAGACGCGGAATGTGTTTTCACGGCCATGCTTCAAATTCCGCGCATTCTTTCTCACGCACGCCGAACGACCGCATACGCCCGCTTTATAAGCGCAAGCCTAATTTCATCCTGCTCCTCTTGCTCGCTTTGCTCCCACTGCCTTGTAACTTGATGTGGGTTGACGGCTGCACTGTTTAGTTCGCCGCACTGGTTGGGGTTGTGCGGACTTCGCGTCCCGCCCTTCACTTCCCCCACCCACTCCGTGAAGTGCTATTTCCTTTGTCCGCAGATGGGGCAGGATTTGTCAGCCCCTGCCGGTGCCAACAGTTGGCGGCTGGTCAGTTTTAGAAGTGCCGGCCTATCCTCGATCTGAGGCCCAGCCCCCGTGTTTGAACAAAATCACATGCAAGCCGAATTTGGCCTCCCTGATCCTTAGAACGAAAAATGGGAACCCAACTCCAGGAAGGTCCCCAGAACAAGGATCTACAAGTCTAGTCTGGACGCAATGAACGCGACGATGCCGGGCGGCTTTGGCGATGCGTCATCGTTGAGCGGCCTCTGTAAAGTTGGGAGGTTTAGTTGTCTCTTTTTGCTGAGCGGCCCCTTCCGAGCTGACGGGCGCGCTGAGCTCCTGGCTGTAAGCCTCCCCGCTCGTGCACCTCGATGCGCCAGTGTCAGCTCTGGAGGGGCAGGCTCCCCGCGGCGTGACTTCTGATCTTCTTTCGTCGGTTGTGACCGGGCTTGTGGCTTCAGCTGGTGCTCGGGGATCTGCTGACCCGTGTCAGTCCAAGCCCGGGTCAGTCAGGCCATGCAGCATCCTACAATATGTTGCAGGACCCTGCAGGCTGCAGGACCCTGCACACCCGAGCCCGGGTCAGTGCGACTGTGGCCCTGCAGGATCCTGCCAAATCCAGCGCTCTGACTGACCCCCGTTTGCATTGACCCCCGTCTCAAATTTGGCCTCCTAGATGGGGTCGGAGTAGATTGGGTCGGAGGATCGTGTCACATCGCCGATGCAAAGCCGATGCGGCTCGATGGGGAGCCCGACTTGCTCCACGTCGACGTCGCCGGTGCGACGCCGACGTCGACGGTGCATCGCCGGTGCATCGCCGACGCGACGCCAGTGCATCGCTCATGTATCGGCGATGCGGCGCTGTCCTCCGACCCCACCCACTCCGACCCCATCGAGGCGGCTTCCGGGCAAGGCCCGCGAGGTGCCCAGCGTCGCCCTGCCTCGCCCCTGCAAGGCGAGGCGCCGCCTGCAGCCCGCTGGCGCGGAGGACGGCGCGCGGGCGTCCCCGACGCCGCAGCAGCGCGCGGTGGAGGACCGCCGCGCGGCGTCGCTGGAGAGCGCCGCCAGGGCGAAGGCCCCGGGGCCCGCAGGGCAGAGGAGGATGCGCAGTGGGGGCCCCGGCCAACGGACGGGGCCAGGACGAGGATGAATCCGTCCCAGGGCGTTTTTGAATGGTTTTGGAGCCTCCCCGAACGCTCTGGGAAGGTCGCGGCGCCCGAGACATCCTCTTGAGCCGCGGGATCGAATCCTGGAGATCCCCGAGTTTCTCCTCACCCTAGGTTGTCCTCGTCCCGGCTTCGCCCTGCCTCGCCCTCGAGGGATCGCAGGAGCCGACGCCGCTTCTCCCCGGCGGCAGGCTGGCGGAGGGAGAGCGGGGGCGTCCCAGCCGGCGGGGGGCGCCGCCGTGAGCGAAGGCCTGGCCCCAGTGTTACGTCGGGCGTGTCCCTCTACATGAGGAAGATTCAAAAATAGTCCAACAAATCGTCTGGGGACGATGCTTTATTCCCTACCTAGGCTCTGCCTAGAAGGGTTCTTACTCGGTTTGCTTAAAGGGCCGGGCAGTGGGGCACGCCCCGGGCGGTTCCCCCGGCATCCGCCCCGCGGTTCCCCCAGTGACGTTCCCTTAGCTTCGCGTTGCTTATCTCATCTTAGCTTAGCTTATTTCATATTAGCTTAGCTTAGCTTCATCTTAGCTCAGGTTTAGCTTAGCTTACCTTCATCTTAGCTTCGCCGAGCTTTAGCATAGCAGAGCACAGCATAGCATAACAGAGCGTAGCACAGCACAGTGCAGCACATAATATCATAGCACAGCCCAGCATAGCACAGCATACCGCAACATAGCATAGCATAGCATAACATATCACAGTATGGCATAGCATAGCATAGCATAGCATAGTGCAGCTCAGCATATCATCGCATAGCATAGCTTAGCATAGCACAGCGCAGCATTCCATAGCATTACATGTCATACCATATCATATCATAACATATCATAGCATAGTATAGCATAGCGCAGCATAGCAGAACATACCATATCATAGCATAGCGCAGCATAGCATGGCATAGCATAGCATGCATTACGTAGCAGCTAATGCTGCTTTCCTAGGGGCTCCAACTTCTGGGTAGGGTCGCACTGGGGTAATTATTTGTTGGACTATTTCTGTTGTTTTCTAAAACTGTTTCGTCCCAACTCCGAATGTAGGAGGACATGCCCGACCTAACCCCAGTGCCGAGCTTCCTCTTCACCGAGGATAGGGGAGCTCGAGGCCACACAGATAGGGTCCGAGCAGATCGGGTCGAAGGATCGCGCAGCATCGCCGATGCATCGGCGATGCGGCTCGATGTGCAGCCCAATGTTCTCCACGCCGACGTCGCCGATGCATCGCCGATGTCGACGTTGCATCGCCGATGCATCGGCGATGCATCGGCGGTGCGGCACGATCCTTCGACCCCAACTGCGTGGACCCCATCTAGGAGGCCTCTACTCACTGAGGTTCCCGTCTTTGCATTATGGATCGTATATGTTTGGCGGTTGGTTCGATACATCTGCAGAGAAGGACCCCGGTCCCTAATGTTTGTCCCAACCATCCTGTGGTGTTGGGTCCTCGTTTTGAAGAGACGGTGCCCCGCGTTCCCCTCCTCCTCCTCCTCGCCCTCCTCCCTCTCCCCATCGTCATCATCATCATCATCATCATCATCATCATCATCATCATCATCATCATCAGCATCAGCATCAGCATCAGCATCAGCATCAGCATCAGCATCAGCATCAGCATCATCATCACCACCGATTTCGGCACACCCCTCACACGTTTCGTGGCCCCATAGGGAGCTCCACCGAAGGCCCCAGTGGCAGGGTCCGCATGCCTCCCCACCACCCATTTCGGCACACCCCTCACACGTTTCGTGGCCCCATAGGGAGCTCCACCGAAGGCCCCAGTGGCAGGGTCCGCATGCCTCCCCACCACCCATTTCGGCACACCCCTCACACGTTTCGTGGCCCCATAGGGAGCTCCACCGAAGGCCCCAGTGGCAGGGTCCGCATGCCTCCCCACCACCCATTTCGGCACACCCCTCACACGTTTCGTGGCCCCATAGGGAGCTCCACCGAAGGCCCCAGTGGCTGCGTTCGCATGCCTCCCACCACCCATTTCGGCACACCCCTCACACGTTTCGTGGCCCCATAGGGAGCTCCACCGAAGGCCCCAGTGGCAGCGCCCGCATGCCTCCCCACCACCCATTTCGGCACACCCCTCACACGTTTCGTGGCCCCATAGGGAGCTCCACCGAAGGCCCCAGTGGCAGGGTCCGCATGCCTCCCCACCACCCATTTCGGCACACCCCTCACACGTTTCGTGGCCCCATAGGGAGCTCCACCGAAGGCCCCAGTGGCAGGGTCCGCATGCCTCCCCACCACCCATTTCGGCACACCCCTCACACGTTTCGTGGCCCCATAGGGAGCTCCACCGAAGGCCCCAGTGGCAGGTTCGCATGCCTCCCCACCACCCATTTCGGCACACCCCTCACACGTTTCGTGGCCCCACCCCCAGTGGCAGGGAGCGGGCACACCCCTCACACGTTTCGTGGCCCCATAGGGAGCTCCACCGAAGGCCCCAGTGGCAGGGTCGCATGCCTCCCCACCACCCATTTCGGCACACCCCTCACACGTTTCGTGGCCCCATAGGGAGCTCCACCGAAGGCCCCAGTGGCCTGGTTCGTATGCCTCCCCAACACCCATTTCGGCACATCCCTCACACGTTTCGTGGCCCCATGGGGATTTCCACGTGAAGGCCCCAGTGACTGGGTTCGCATGCGCCCCCACACCCATTTCGGCACACCCCTCACACGTTTCGTGGCACCATAGGGAGCTCCACCGAAGGCCCCAGTGGCTGCGTTCGCATGCCGCCCCCACACCAATTTCGGCACACCCCTCACACGTTTCGTGGCCCCACAGGGAGCTCCACCGAAGGCCCCAGTGGCTGCGTTCGCATGCCGCCCCCACACCCATTTCGGCACACCCCTCACACGTTTCGTGGCCCCATAAGGAGCTCCACCGAAGGCCCCAGTGGCAACGTTCGCATGCCGCCCCCACACCCATTTCGGCACACCCCTCAAACGGTTCGTGGCCCCATAGGGAGATCCACCGAAGACGGTACTCACACCAGCATTACTCACAACTGCATATGGTTGGGTCCTTCGCCAGGCTAATTGGCCCTCCTAGCTTAGGTCCCCTCCCAAAGGGCCAGGGGTTCGTTTTATGGCAAATCACCTTTGGCGGCGACATAGCATAGCATAGCATAGCGCAGCATAGCATATCATATCATAGCATAGCATAGCGCAGCATAGCATGGCATAGCATAGCATAGCACAACATAGCAGCTAATGCTGCTTTCCTGGGGGCTCCAACTTCTGGGTAGGGTCGCACTGGGGTAATTAGTTGTTGGACTATTTCTATTGTTTTCTAAAACTGTTTCGTCCCAACTCCGAATGTAGGAGGACATGCCCGACCTAACCCCAGTGCCGAGCTTCCTCTTCACCGAGGATAGGGGAGCTCGAGGCCACACAGATGGGGTCCGAGCAGATCGGGTCGAAGGATCGCGCAGCATCGCCGATGCACTGGCGATGCGGCTCGATGTGCAGCCCAATGTTCTCCACGCCGACGTCGCCGATGCATCGCCGATGTCGACGTTGCATCGCCGATGCATCGGCGATGCATCGGCGGTGCGGCACGATCCTTCGACCCCAACTGCGTGGACCCCATCTAGGAGGCCTCTACTCACTGAGGTTCCCGTCTTTGCATTATGGATCGTATATGTTTGGCGGTTGGTTCGATACATCTGCAGAGAAGGCCCCCTGTCCCTAATGTTTTTGGCCCTCCTAGCTTAGGTCCCCTCCCAAAGGGCCAGGGGTTCTTTTTATTGCAAATCACCTTTGGCGGCGAGCGAGGGGGGAAGTGAGAAGGAGAAGGCCTTTCCAGAAGGCGGCGGGACTTCTCAGAAGCTCTCGGGCCTTCTGAAGGGTTTTCTGTTTTATTTAATCGCTTCGCTCATTCCGCCGGCCCATACAGTCTCATGTCTGCCGTTTGCCCGAGGGCCTGGTGTCAATGCGGCGCTTGGAGGCAGTGTTGAAGCCTCTTGAGGCCCCGTAAGGGCCGTTTGGGGGTCGTTGGGGCTTCTTGTTGGGCTTCTTGGGTGGTTCTTGGGGCGTCTTGGGGGACTTATTGGCGGGATGTTGGTGGCTTCTGAGGTGCTCCTAGGGGCAGAATCCCCCTTTGGGCGCCTCTTGGGCGGTCTTGGTGCTCTCTTGTGCCGTCTTGGGGTTATCTTGGGCCGTCTTGGGCCGATTTTAGCGTATTGTTGGGCTGTCTCGGGGCGATGTTGGGGGATATTTGCGTAGTCTGAGGCGCTGTGAAACTCGAAACGCCGTTCATGCGGGAAGTGTACATGTTCCTCGGGGAATGGGACGATTTTTGATTGTAATGGCCGTCTTGGAGGGCCTCTTGAGGCTCTCTTGGGGCTTCTTGGCGGCCTCGACGGCAATTTTGAGGTCATTTTGGGCGATTTGGAACGATTGTTCGGCGACTTGAGGCTGCTTGGATTGTTTCGGGGGCGTTCCGGTACCGTTTTGGCGCGCTCCTGGAGCGTTCTGGGGGCATGAGCCGAACGACGCGCTCTGGGCGGCGTGCGGAAGCCATTGTGTGAGAGGGCGCGGTGGTGAGAAGAACAGCTCACCCCACCCCGCTTTCCGGGCTTTCCGGCGTAAGGAGGGCTTCTTCGCGGCACATGTGAACGCTCCTGGAGAGTGCTTTTGGGGCAGGTTCTTGACGCTTGTTGCAAGTCTGTAGGGGCCCCGTTGGGAGTCTACCGAAAGGAGAGCACATTGTAGCATCGCTTGCACTTGCTTGCGTGCTCGGGGGGGCATTTGGGGGGGCCTCCTGGGGCCGCTTGGGGGACTCTTGGGGGCCTCCTGAGGGCCTCGTGAGGGCCTCTTGGGGCCTCTTAGGGGCCTCTTGGGGCCTCGTGGGGGCTTCTTAGGGCCGAGGGCTCGAAATGTTGTTTCGTGTTCCCTCTCTGGGGCCCCTTTGGGGGCGTTCTTGGGGCCCTCTTGGACCGTCTTGGAGGCTTCTTGGGCCGTCTTCGAGCCCTCTTGGGCCATCTTGGGGCCCTCTTGGGGGCCTCTTGGGCCCTTTGGGGGCGATCTTGGGGGCCTCTTGGGCCGTCTTGGGGCGTCGGGAACCCGAAAAGGTGGAAGCTCCAAAATCTTTCAAAAACCGAAGGAAAAGCAATGAATTTTGCCTCCTGGGGCCCTCTTGGGAGTGCTCTTGGAGGCCTCTTGGGGCGTCTGGGGGCTATCTTGGGCGTCTGGGAGCGATCTTGTGGCATGTCGGACCCCTCGTGTACCATCTTGGGGGCCTCTTGGGGGCCTGTTGGCCTTTCTTGGGGCTCTCGGGGACGTCTCGGAGCCCTGTTGGTGCGCTCATGGAGCGCTCTGGTGGCTTCGCCCGGGGATCAGCCGGGACTCGCCCGGGGTACTTTCCGTCCGGGGACCCCCAGGGGCCGCCCCGCGCGCGCGAACTAGAGAATTGTTAACCAGTTACCGGAGATCTTAGCACGCCTCTGGCCCGTTGGGCCGGCGAATTGGGGGAGGCTTAGAACGCTTCTCAGATGGCCCGGGGACTTCTGAGCCCCCGCGGGGTCGCAGCCGAGTCCTGCAAAAATGGTTTTCGAATGCTCCATGGAGTTCTCGGAGGCTAGAGTTATGGTCCGAGGGCCTCCTCGGCGCCACCGAGCTCAGGGCCCATGGGTGTTCCCAGAGGTATCTGGTTTAGAGGTGTTTGCTCAGCCTGCTTTACATGATTGTTTTTTTTGCACTGGCTAAACGTGTCAGCTAAACGCCTTATGGAATGTGTCGCCGATCTGTGCGGATCCAGCTCCACAAGTTAATGGCGGCCTCAACGCAAAATCCTGGCGCCTCATGGCCAATGGTGACCCTGGGGCTTCCCTCGATTTTGACGCCCCCTGGGGCCTTTGATGGGTGCTGGAGGCCGTGGGGGCCTTCCCCTGGACTCCTGAGGCTCTGAGGACACCTTGGGCCAGGGACTCCTCTGGCCCACTCCGATTCTATACGTCCCGATTCTGGCTGGCTCGGCCCGATGCGGTTCCGACTTCTTCCAGCGGTCGGATGTGCGGGTCGCATGGCGTTGTGGTGCATCCTGGCGCGGCCAGTCCGATTCGACTTCGGCTCCGTGCCGAGGCGACCCGATCTGGCGAACGTTCTGGTCAGATCCGACCGCCCGATCTGGTGCTGGTTGATTCCCTGAAGGTGGCCGAGGACGCGGAGCGCCTCCGCGAGGCGCTCACAGAGGGCGAGAAGGCCGGCGTCGGCGAGGAGTGGGGAAGAAAGAACGTAAGTTTGCAGAGTCCGCCGGGATTTCTTGGATCGGCGGAGGGTAGAAGGAGAGCGAGGAGGAGGAGGAGGAGGAGAAGGGAGAGGAGGAGGAGAGGGAGGGAAAGGAGAGCACGTGGGATGAGGAGGGGAAGGAGGGGGGAGAAGAGGGGGACGGAGGGGAAAGAGGAGGCGGAGGGGGAAGAGGGGAAGGATGGGACAGAGGAGCAGGAGGAGGAGGAGGAGGAGGAGGACGACGAGGAAACGCTTCAGGCTCTGACCTATAGTTAGTGCAACGTCAGAAAGGAGGACGAGGACGCGGAGGAGGAGCTCCAGCGCGCGGGCCGCCGAACGAAAAGAAATCTGTGCGGACCTCTGCAGGCTTATGGCACATGTGTGCGACGCCAGAACAGCGGGGCCGTCTCCACCGACAGTGGCGCGCACGGTCGCGCGTCAGCGCCGTCGCCCTCGAGGGATCGAACGAGCTGACACCTCTCCTGAGATCCGACGTCCCCAAAAAGTTGAGACATCGTGACACATCATGACGGGAGCCCTGGGCCTCATCTTTCTCCGCCAGGTTTCGAGCCAGATCGATCGGTGAGGGTCCCGGGGCCCGGAATGGTAGAACGAAGAACGACATGAACATAAAAGCTCTGAGGTCCGCGCGGATTGCTCGGATCGGCGCTGGACCCTCTCCCTGGCGCGCGGAGCGCGCCAGGGGCGTCGCCGGAGGCGTCGCCAGGGGGCCCCAGCGCGGATCCGAGAAACTCGCGCGAAGCGTCGAAAGTTTATGTTTATGGCGAATTGTTCTTCTTCGAGCTAAACGAGCTTCCCGGGCGAATGTTTATGGCGAACTTCCCGGCTCGAAGAAGTTGAGGCGCCCCAGGATCTCCGGCTCCCCCCCGGCGGCAGGCCGACGGAGGGAGAGCGGGGAGTCGTCGGAGCGCCGGCGGAGGGCCGGCGGCGGGCCGGCGGAAGGCGCCGCCGTGAGCGAGGGCCCGGCCCCGGTGCCGAGCTTCTTTCGGCGGCGAGCTCCGCAGGCTTCCAGTGGAGGCCCATGGCAAGGAGCAGCCTGCTCGCCTCCAGGGTGCCCTGGTGGTCTCGGGTTTCGATTGGTGTGGTGATGGGAAGCGTGACGTCCCCGCACCAGGAGTCCACGGACGTCCTGGGGTCTCGGGGTTGGGTTTCGTGTGCAGGGTTCCTTGTGGTCTAGCTCGTACTGTATGTTATGTGAGCGACGCCGAAGAAACGGGGTCGTCTTCACCAACATTTGCTCGCAAGGTCGCGTGTGAGCGCCTCGTTTCCAGTGCCCTGAGATCCTGGCGAGTCAGGTTTTTCGAGCCGGGCCTTTTCGCCTTTCTCGGGCCCGGGACACTGACAGATAGATCCAGCCCAAAAAAATTCGCAGAAAGATGGGGTCTAGGGCTCCGGGCGCGAGTTTTCACGATGTTTCATTTTTTTCTCGAGACGTCGGATCTCAGGGCTGTGGCGTGCCGCGCCGGCGGCCCGCGTAAGCCTCCGCGCAAGGTCGCTGGATCATCTCGCGCAAGGGCCCTTCCTGATCGCCGCCCGTGTGTGTGTGTGTGTGTGTGTGTGTGCGTCGCTCTGGTGCTTCCTCCGGAGGATAGGCGGCGAGCGAGGGGGGAAGTGAGAAGGAGAAGGCCTTCTCAGAAAGCGGCGGGACTTCTCAGAAGCTCTCGGGCCTTCTGACAGGTTTTCAGTGTCTTTGTGGGAGGCTTAGGAAACTTCTCAGAGGGCCGGGGGACTTCTGAGCCCCCGCGGGCTCGCCGCCGATTCCTGGACCAAATGGTTTTCGAATGCTCCCTGGAGTGCTCGGAGCGGTCCTCAGAAGCCCTCGGGCCTTCTGACAGGTCTTCTATGCCTTCGGGGGAGGCTTGGAAACCTTCTCCGAGGGCCGGGGGACTTCCGAGCCTCCTGAGTCGGGAGCCTTGAGACGGGGTCAATGCAAACGGGGGTCAGCCAGAGCGCCAGGTCTTGCAGGATCCTGCAGGGCCATGGTCGCATTGACCCGGGCTTGGGTGCAGGATCCTGCAGGATCTTGCAGGATCCTTCGCGTTGACCCGGGTTTGGGTGCAGGGTCTTGCAGGATCTTGCAGGATTCGGCAAGGCCTGACTGCCTGACTGACCCGGGTCTGGATTGACCCGGGTCGGAAGATCCCCGACTGAGAAGGCCCGCCCCTTCTCACACATTCCCCCCCCCTCGCTCGCCGCCGAGAGGAGGCGCTGGGTCCGCTGCGGTCGCTGCTCGGCGGCTGGGAGCAGCAGGCCCTCCGCCAGCAGGCGGCGGCCCTCGGGGCGCTCGCCGAGGCGGCCACAGGCGGCGACGCGGGGCGCCTCCGCGCCTGCGTGGAGGCGGCCGAGGTGGCGTGCAGCGCGAAGGATCGGTGGGCGCCAACCAATCGGACGGGGCCAGGACGGGGGCAAATCCGTTCCAGGGAGCGCTCTGGGACGCTCTCAGAGGGTCCCACAACGCTCTGAGGAGGCCGCGGCGCCTCCAGAGCCGCGGGATCTCAGAGATTCTCGAAGTGTCCTCGTCTGGTTTTATCCTGGTCCTGGCTTCGTCTTAATCAACCCTGACGTCCAGGTGTTGAGTTTGTTTTCTCAAGGTGCGATGCTTTGCTTTGCCTCAGGCCCAAAATCCTCACATTGAGATCCCGGTCGCAAGATGCGGTGGAAAAAAGGGGTCTATTGTTCCGATCGTGCCTGTTCACGATGTTGCATGTTTTCGCTGCGTCGGCTCCAGAGTAACCCAGGCCTCCGACGATCTTCCCTCCTCCTCCTCCTCCTCCTCCTCCTCCTCCTCCTCCTCCTTTTGCTCCTCCTCCTCCTCCTCCTCCTCCTCCTCCTCCTCCTCCTCCCCTGTTTCCCCTCGCAAGGGAAGCGCAAGGGATTCTTGACAATTGATGATTTGTAATCAACGAGTGCGCGCGCATTGTATTTCTGTTCCAGAGGATGCGAGGGGAAACGTTACCGGATTGGCTGGGATGCTACGAGTTCATATGTAGGATGGACGACGGGGCAGAATCGTATGCAAATTGCAATACGCAAACGGGACCGGTTAAATCCGGGGTGGGAGGGTAGATCCAAATATTCTCTTCGAGAGGAGAATCTACATGATGCATCAACATTGAACATTTTATGTTGGCGATCCAGGTCGCGCAATCTACGTGGTGCAGTCTACACACCGACATTCAGGCCCAGACGACGGGCGGCGACGAGGCGGCGACTGGGCGGCAACGGCGAGCAACCGAACCGTCACACCGACAATCAGGCCCAGACGACGGGCGCCGATGAGGCGGCGACGGGGAGCCGCCAGACCGACATTCAGGCCCAGACGACGGGCGGGCGGCGACGAGGCGGCGACGAGGCGGCGACGGGGCGGCGACGGCGAACACGGACCCTGCCAGACAGACGTTCAGGGCTAGTTCACCAAAAGAGAACCAAGAATCCCGTAGATGTAGCTGTTTTGGGAACGCTGCTTTTCGTGAAGATAGTACAATATGGGAAATTGGTGGCACGAGGGGGGGAATAGCGAAGTATGGGGAATCGTGGAATCACTGTGCATTTGTGTGTATGCGTCTGTGTCTGAGTCTGAGTCTGTGTCTGTGTCTGTGTCTGTGTCTGTGTCTGTGTCTATGTCTGTGCCTGTGCCTGTGCCTGTGCCTGTGTGTCTGCGTGTCCGTGTGTCTGTGTCTGTGTCTGTGTCTGTGTGTCTTTGTCTGTGTCTGTGTGTCTGTGCCTGTGCTTGTGCGTGTGTCTGTGTCTGTGGCCGCCTGAGGCCCCGCCCGCCCGCGCCCTGTCTCCCCAATTAGGGCTACCCGCGTCCCGTTTAGCTCTTGACCGGAAGGGGCCCGCTCCCGACCCGCAGACCAAAAAAGTGCCTGTGTCTGTGTGTCTGTGTCTGTGCCTCTGTGTGCCTGTGTCTCTGTGTCTCTGTGTCTCTGTGTGTCCGTGTGTCTGCATGTCTGTGTGTCTGTGTGTGTTTCCCTGGCCCCCCCTCTTTGGGGTTCCAGGGCTTTTGTGTGCGAGCCGCGCCGCCCCCGGGCAGGCCGAGCCTCGGCCCAGGATCGGTGCAGTGTGCCTCCCTGCCCGAGGCAGGGCTGCCGAACTGCACCGAGTCTGGGACCGGGACGGGCTCGGCCAGGATCGGTGCAGCTTCGGGGGGGCAAAACATGGCATGAACATGTGATCGTTGTTTATTTCTTGTTTTGCCGATCGGCGCGGGCCCTCGCCCCCCCCCCCCCCCTCCCCCCCATATGGAGTGGATCTTAGCTGTTTTTGCTGCGACTTTTTTTAGCAGGTGCAGTCTCCCCCATAATGGACACACTGTTGCAAACAGTCGCCCTAAGCAGAGGTCCAGAGCCAGACGCCCCCCCCCCCTCCCCCCCCCCCCGCCCAATGTCGAAACGCCGAATAAGAAAACGTTGAACATAATGTTTTAGAGGTCCGCGCGGATTTCTCGGATCGGCGCTAGAGCCCCCTGGCGCATTCCGCGCACAAGGGGGGGGCCAGTGCCGATCCAAGAAATCCGCACGGGCCTCCAAAAGTTGATGCTTATGTCATTCTTTGATCCTCTATAATGAATGTCCCCACTGCCGTTGTCGCTTCTTCTGTCATTTCCCTTCTCTGCCGTGCCGCAGGGCCCATCTTGCGATTGTGCAGTATACGGTCGGGAACTTTGGATTAGCGTGTCGCGCCGCCGATTCTGGCCCACCACGCCTCGGCGTAAAACGCTATCCATGTCTCGGTCCCCAAGCGTTAACATTCCCCTTTGAGACCTCCCGCTCCGCGGAGAGGAGCGACAAGCTATCCACTCTCAAGGAGTAGCGTGCCGCCCGGGCCGCCGCCGCGACACGGTAAGCACGAATTCCCGACCGAAGTTGGCGCCGTCCTGCAGGACCCCCAGGTCGTGGAGGCGGCACTCTTCTTTGCTGCTCGCCTGCTTCCACTGTTGTGCGGCTGGCCCGCGGCGCACGGGGGGGGCGGGACCGGAGGGGGTCTGCTCGCCATGGAGGAAGCGGGTCCCGAGGGAAATGGGTCCTGAGGCTCTTCGCCGTTTTCGGGCTCTCGGGGCCCTCCACGGCCCCGGGACTGTCAGAAGACGACGCAGGATGAAGAACTCGTGTTGGGGGAAGGCCCTGGGGTCCGAGACCCGTTTTCTGCAGATCCAGTTCCACCCATGCTAGGGCTGCCGAGAAGGGTGGATGAGGAGGGGGTCGAAGAAGAAGAACTGGCGTAAACATACCCTTGCGGAGTCCCGCGCGGATCTCTTGGCGTTGCGCCCCCCCCTCGGCGGCGCCTCTGGCGCCGCCCTTGTCGCGCTCCGCACGCCAGGGAGGGGGTCCAGCGCCGATCCGAGAGATCCGCACGGAGCTCCGAAAGCTGGTGTTCATGCAGCGTTCTCCTTCCCCGAGGGGCAGGGGCTGGCTGGAACAGGTCCGATCGTCTTCGTACTGGCCGCAGGGCGCACCCCCAGAGGCGCCAGGGGGCAGGCTCGAGTCCATTGCCTGGCGAGTTGGCAAGGCAACCCAGCGTGCCCCTCTTGAAGAGATCGCGGGGCGGGTTACGTCGGGAGTGTCCTTCTACAGGAGGGGCATTCAAAAACAGTGAAGAAATGGTTAGGTGACGTTTTTTGTGTTTCTTTGATTATTCGTATTTTATGTGTTGACAATTTTCGATCTGCCTTCCAAAGCCCGCCTGTAGGAGGACATGCCCGACCTGAGGCGCGGGCGACCGATCCGAGTTTCTGCCGCAGAGGCCTGCCCTGGTGAGGCCGAGCTTGCTGCGCGGTGCCCTCCCCGCTCCTCTGGGGCATGAGCCCCTCTGCTGCGGCTCTGCGTCCGCGGCCGGCCGGCCGCGGAAGCCCTGCCGTGCCTGCCTGGCTCGCCGGTGTGCCCGGACGGAGGGCCCCCCGCGTCGGAGGCCCGGAGGCAGTGCCCGTCGGCATCGGGGAGGAACGGAGTGCGCTCGCAGGGTCTTTCGCTCGGGGAGAGGGCGAGGACGGCCCTGCGGCAGGGTTGCCTCTGCCGACTCCTCGGCTCGAGTTTGACCATCGTCCGTGGTTGGTGTTGCCCCCCTCTCGCCTCTTCCTCTGTCTGCAGCAGAACAGCATTGAACACGCGTTCTTGATCCATTTGGAATTCCGGATGGTCCCCCAAACCTCGACATGTTTCCTATGCAATGGCTTTCGGACCATCCCGGCACCGTGCCTGGGTTGTGGGTATGCAGCTTATTGGATGTTCGTTGGGATCTCGTGGGAGGCTTCTCGGGAACCTCTTGGAGACAGTTTGGACGCCTCTTGGGGGCCGTTTGGGGGCTTCTTATGGCCTCTTTGGGGCCTCTTGGGGTCCTCTTGGGGCTTCCTGGGCGCATCTTGGAGCCTTCTGGGGGCCTCTTGGGGCGGAAGGCTCGAATTTTCGGTTCGTGTTCACTCTGTTGGGCCCCTTTGGAGGCTGTCTTGGGGCCCTCTTGGGCCGTCTTAGGAGCGTCTTGGGCTGTATTGGGGCCCTCTTGTCCTGTTTGGGGGCCCTCTTGGAGGCCTCGTGGGCGGTCTTGGGAGCCTCTAGGACCGTCTCGGAGCGTCGGGAAGCCGAAGAGGCGAGAATGCAAAAATATTTCAAAGACCTTGGAACAAGCGATGATTTTGGCCTCTTGGAGCCCTCTTGGAAGACCTCTTGGAGGCCTCTGTAGGTGTCTTGAAGGCCTTCTGGGCCGTCTGGGGGCCATCTTGGGCGTCGTAGAGCGACCGTTCGGCGACTGGGGGTCTCTTTGGACCATCTTAGGGGCTTCTTGGGGCCCTCTTGGCCCGTCTTGGGGCCTTCTCGGGCCAGAAGTCAAGCGAGAAGACACCGGGAACGCCAGGGGAACCGCGACAAGCCCCAGGAGATTCGGAATTTGGGGTCCGGGCCCCTGAAAGATTCCTCAGGAGCAAGGATGGAGGCTCAGAGGATTGGCCCCAGGACCTGAGGATACGCCTACTCCGTGCACAGCGGCACGGTGGCGGATTTGAAAGACCCCATTTTGCTCACAACAGCAAGTCGTAATCTCGTAAGGGGCGAGTTGTGTCTGCCTTCTCAGAAAGAGAGGCGGGTGCAGCCAGCGCTGCTGTTCTAAACGCGACAGGACGCGGCATCAAGGCTCGTTGATGGTCAGCTCGTTCGGAGATCTTGTGGCCTGATTTTGGATCGATCTTCATGTTAGTGTAAACAGATATACGTCCGCGTGCATCCCACGGCCTGCTCGTGGCCCGTGGCATGGAGAGTATCCAGGGCCTGACAGCGACGCAAGCGCTGATGCACTCATGCATATCTCGGCGGCGCGCCGAGCGGGGAGTGCGAGTGGGCGGACCTTCTTACAGAAGGCGGCGTGGTCTCTCGGAAACCCTCCCGCCTTGCGAGACGCCCGCTGCGGTTGCGGATCACGCCCAGGGTTATGCTGCTCCCGTCGCACTTGAGGACCACATCCCAGAGATAATTTCTACCACGAAACAGTGTCGAACGAGTGTCGCCTCACAGAGCCCGACACGTGAAAACCTTCAAGGTTCGAGACCTTCTTGGTGCTCGATATCCTGTTTGGTGATCAAGGCTGATGCAGGTTGGAACATCATAAGCCCACGAAGCCTCTCGGAAGGCCAGAGGCCATCCGATCCTTCCTGCATCCCCCCCTACTTGTTTGCAGCGCGTTTTGCTAAGGGTTATAAGTGGCTGCGGTGCTTTACTAGGATTGAACATACGCTAATATGGCTTAACTATGTTTAGTATGAATTCGCGTACGTTTAACATGGCTTAGCTTTCGACAGCGACGTTAAAGCTCGCTGACTGGTTATGCGTGCTTAGGTAAATCCAACTTAACCCAACATAACCCAACTTAACTCACCATGATTAAGCCAACGCATGTTAGCCCACCTTAATTCAATTTGAATTCAAGTTGAAAAACGAATCAAAGCTAAACCAAATTAAAATGTTGTCTAATTCCAGCAACAAGTTAAATCAATACTGTCTACTAAAAAATGAAGTTTAGCCTGACACGGGACCCAGCCATATGCAGGTGCGAGTACCGCAATAGTGATTCACTTTTTCGGTGGCGATCCCTATGAGGCAACGAACCGTGCTAGGGGTGTGCCGAAAAGAGTGGCGTGGTACACAACGCGAACGAAAACGATTGATCTGAGCACGTAGGGAGACTGAGCGCGGGTGACTCTGAGCGCGAGTGCGTCTGACTGTGAATGAATATGCGTGCGAGCGAGCCTACGTGCATGAACGCGAGTATGAGTGACAACGCATGGTGCAATTCTATATGAATGTCAATCGTTTGAGAATGACTGCCTCTGAGTACTCGTGACGCTGGGCGTGGCCGCCGCAAGGAGCTTCCCCGGGACTCCCTGACGGCATCGCCCGCGCGCCGCGACGCCAATGTCGGCGCGCCCCCCCGCGAGGATCGCGCCCGCTTCCTCCCCTTCTTTTAGTCCCTCTTTGCCCGCGCACTCAAAAGTCCAAAACTGCGGGCGCAGCGCAGCGCGGAGTCCCCGCGACGCGCGCAGGTCGCCCCGGAGGGGTCCCAGCGACGCGCGCGGGTCGTCCGCTGCGCGGAGCAAAGAGAGCTAGCTGGCTGGCTGATAGCGGGCAAGGCTCTTGCCGCTGGGCCGAGCGACGACGGGCGAGCGAGGCGCTGGGCAGAACGCAGCACGGAGTCCCCGCGACGCGCGCTGGTCGCCCCGGAGGGGTCCCAGCGATGCGCGCGGGTCGTCCGCTGCGCGGAGCAAAGAGAGCTAGCTGGCTGGCTGGGACCTTCGGTGGGGCTCCATATGGGGCCACGAAACAATGTACTGGGTGCGGGAGACGCATGCGGACTGCGCCACGGAGGCTTTCGGTGGGGTTACCTATGGGGCCACGAAGCGTGTGAGGGGTGTGCCGAAATGAGTGGCGGGGACGCATGCGGACTGTGCCACTGGGACCTTCGGCGGAGCTCCTATGGGGCCACGAAGCGTGTGAGGGGTGTGCCGAAATGAGTGGCGAAATGGGACGCGGACTGTGCCACGGGGACCTTCGGCGGAGCTCCTATGGGGCCACGAACCGTGTGCGGGGTGTGCCGAAATGAATGGCGGGGACGCGTGCGGACTGTGCCACTGGGACCTTCGGCGGAGCTCCTATGGGGCCACGAACCGTGTGAGGGGTGTGCCGAAATTAACGGCGGGGACGCATGCGGACTGTGCCACTGGGACCTTCGGCGGAGCTCCTACGGGGCCACGAAACGTGTGAGGGGTTTGCCGAAATGAGTGGCGGGGACGCATGCGGATTGTGCCACTGGGACCTTCGGCGGAGCTCCTACGGGGCCACGAAACGTGTGAGGGGTGTGCCGAAATGAGTGGCGGGGACGCATGCGGATTGTGCCATTGGGACCTTCGGCGGAGCTCCTATGGGGCCACGAAACTTGTGAGGGGTGGGGCCGAAATGAGTGGCGGGGACGCACGCGGACTGTGCCACTGGGACCTTCGGCGGAGCTCCTATGGGGCCATGCCCGAGACAGAAGCAACACAAAAAACAGCAACGACCAAAAACGACAAGCAGCAACAGCGACCGCGGAACGCTGGGGCGCGCCCAACCGCGCCACCGGAGGAGTAGTGCCAGGGGACCCCGCCGTTACAGGGGAGCTTACCAGAGTATCCGTGACATCCTCTGTCACGGAAGTGCTTGGCTCCCCTCGCCTGCGGCAGGTCAGCCTTGTTTGTCCTTGGGCGCGCGAGTCTGGGGGCTGCCGTTGGGCACCGCAGAGCCTTCAGTCACACTTGCACTTCGGGGAGAAGAGCGCCTCTGAAGGGTTTGGGGAAGAGGGGGGGCGTTCCTTCGTCAGATGCTTCAGGCTTCTGCGGGCCCAACGTCTCCTCCTTTTCCTGCTTCTTGTTCCTCGTTAACATTTGTTTTGCCAGTGCATGTCTCCCAGCCTGCACTTATAATGTGGACCCGCTGCGACCAAGTCTGTGCTGCTCAGCTGTCGTAGCTGAAGCTGTCTCATGTGCACGACTTCTTTCTCTCTCTCTCTCTCTCTCTCTCTCCTGCCGCTCACCGGCCTAGCGTCTCTGCGTCAAGCCATGGTGGCTCGATTTTGCTTCGATCAGGCCGCTGGTCAATCCGTCGATTGGAATCGGGGCCCAGTATTTGGCCATGTGCTTGGCTCGATTTAGGTGGTGCTTCGCCCCTGGTCGGCGACTACAAAGGGTAGTGTTACGCCGGGGTGTGGTTTGCGATCGGCACCGTTGGGACCTGGGGGGACGACACTGTCCTCGTCGAGCCTCCTCGGGGCGCGGGAGAACTCTATCGAGGTCCCTGGGCGCCCCCCAGGATGTTCCCCAGGGTGCCGGTTGCAAACCTCACGCTTTGCAATCACACCCTGTGGAGTCGCCGACCTGGGCTGTTATGAAGCCGGGGCCGCCGGCGGAGATTGTTCTTTTGAGTCCGCGGGCCCCAGAACTCTCGACGCCGCCCCCCTCCCCCCCTCCGCGGGCTCGAAGAATGTCGCGGGCTTCTGTCGATGCCGATCCTGTGCATGGTCCATGTCGGCCGTCGCCGATCCGCGGGGATGATCCACGACTTGGCGCTGACCAAGATCGACGGAGACCAAGACCGACACGACACTTCCACGCTCAGTCTTGTTCATGATCCCCGGTTTCCCCCTCCACGCATTGCCACGTGCGACGAGGGTCGGGGGCGGAAAAGAGGGGGGTGATGACTAAGGGGGGGTGGATATCATGGCGGGGGCCATGATATTTCCCCAGATTTCATGGCACCTCTTCTTGTTTCATTACGTCCCTGGCCCCCCGCTGGGCCGTGCACATGCCGCCAGTCATGATTTGCAACCCCCCTCTTGGACACCCCCCTCTTGACTGCTCCCGAGAGGGCGCACCCAGCGCAGCACGATGGCTCTCGACTCTCGATGCCCGATGTCTTTCTGGTGGCCCTGGGGGCCCAGAGGCGGCACCCAGACGCCGCGATGAAGGACAAACGCCGGGATTGAAAAGTCCAATTCGCCAGAGGTCTGCGGACGCAGTCCCAGATATCCTTTGTGTCTCGTTTAGCCCGTGGCCCCAACCTCCCGATCACTTCCCCAGGGGTAGTTTTTCGTTCACGGGCGCTTTAGATAGTCCCAGGGCCCGCAAGCGACTCCCAGACGCCGCAATGGCAGAAACACGCCTGGATTGAAAACACAAATCTTTCTGTTGTGCGGGGTAACCTCCCTTTGTGTTCACGAGTCCGCGCTTGCCCAACGGGCCCGACGTTCCACGCCGCGAGCGAGGGCTGCCAGCGACCCTTCGCCAGGCGCGCCAGTGCTTGTCCCGCCTGGAGCGGCTGGAAGTAGCCCGCCGCCGCCTGGAGGAGGCCGTCTCGATCCAGGACGCGGCAGTTCGGCCGCCACGACAGGGGTGGGGGCGGGCTTCGATGTGCACTGCGCCCACGGTGTTTCGGTGCTCTTGACCCTCCTAATCCTTCTCCTCCGCTTCTCACAGGTTCCCAGAGGGGTCTCAAGTGAGCAAAACACTACTAATCAGTGCGTCCGTCACTCCGCACCCTACGTTTTGGTAGGCATTCTGGTGACCGGCTTGGGATGCCCATCGTTCTAGGCAGCGTTCTATCCTTCACGCATCACGTCAGAGCTCCCAGCTTTTCCCCGAAGTTGTGGGAAACGGCCCAACATGCAGAGTTTATCCTCCTGCTCCTCCTCCTCCTCCTCCTCCTCCGTCTCCTCCTCCTCCTCCTCCTCCTCCGTCTCCTCCTCCTCCTCCTCCTCCTCCTCCTCCTCCTCCTCCTCCCAGTCGGCGTTGGAGGCCCAGGCAATTTGAGTTCCGACGGAGTGAGGACTTTAACTGAAACCCACTCACACGACTTCCGCCCCCCACACATTCTCCAGTGACGGGGGTAGGGGGTAGGGGGGAGGCGGAACGACGGAGAATAAACACAACAATCCCTGCAGCCATTCCGATGCCGTCATTTTTGCGGTTTCTTCTCGCGTGACAGGGTCGTAATCTGGTGATGGAATTGTCTTGTGCCGCAACTTTCCGAACATCTATGGAAAATTGGAGTGTGACGTTGAAAAAAACGACGAGCCAAAGACGAAGAGAACGGATCCATCGTACCCA